GACTGCCCCAACAACGTCTCAGTAATATCGGAAACAACTGAGAGAGAGCTCTCTTTGGTGTAAACGATATGCTGCCTTCAGGCACAGGAAGGAGAGTCTTATGGAAACTTGCCATTACAACAACCTTCCCTCCTGAACACACAGTGACTTGCATTTCAGGGGTGAGGGGATCCATTCGTCTTGTTGCTGTTCAAGACAAGTCTGGCATAAAAGCACCCTTTGCTTCTTAAAACTGCCACCTACCGCCCTGAGTGGTCTGCCCCTTTCTTCAACTCTCCCTGCCCTCTGTACAAGGGCTTGTTTCAGATTTCACCAGGGAAGATCCGGAGAAAGTTTCAAACTGACAGCCATTTACATCCAACCATCATATCTCAAAACAGAAACTCATGGATGGTTCTCCATGAAGACCACCTGTCACTCCCTGGAAAGAGCACTTTCTTTGCTGCCCTTTTGGAAGATGAGAAGTTAGTGATGTGGGAAACAAAGGCAAATGAAAAGTTTCCTTACAACTTACAACCCGTGAACAAGTCCTTGAGACAGGCAGAGTGACCTTCTGATGGGAACTCAACTCCTCCATGAGGACACTTTGCTAAGGGCAAAGGCAATCTTAGCCTGGCCCCCCAGGATCCCAGAAGTCTCCTATAATTAATCAAAATTCCTTTGGAAACTTCCCTTAGCTCTACCCCCAAAAGATATAGGCTGGCAATCATACTCCAAGCTTATGGCCCCATGTTTCACATTTGAGGGGTCTCATGACTCAGGTTTTACTACACAGTAATAAACGACCTTTTCCTAACAGTAGCTAGCCCCTCAAGGTCCTGGAAACCTCGTTTCCAAAATTCCTTAGAGACTTACTGTATCCCCAACCCCCTCCCAACCCGAAGGCATATCTCCAGTCACTCTTCACAGCTCCAGTGCAGCAATTCCTGCTACAGGTCCTGCCCCTGTGCTTTAATAAAACCACTTTTTTGTACCAAAGATGTCTCAAGAGTTTTTTCTGGGCTGGCGGCTCCAAACCCCAACACTTCAAACCCCACCAGTGACTTACAGGAAGCACCACTTGGAGTCTCACTTTATTGGGGGAACAACATGCATTTATTCACCAGAGTCGTTCTTACTGAGCATCTCCTCTGGGCTCACACGTGTGTTAGTCAAGGGGCACTGTGACCAGGGCTCTGTGACTGGAATCCCACACGTGTGTGCAACACCCAGGACTCATTCACATAAGTGATTGAATACTGGCGAATATAGATAAGGAGTCGCCTTCCTGAGTGTGGACCATGGTGGGTAAACCTAATGGAGGAGAGGGGAGTAGGAAGGGGATGCAGACCAGCGGTTCTGAAGGATCTTTGATCATCTGTTCACTTGTGCTCCTGTAGTTGGGTGGTTTTTAGCTAATGAATGTGGAGCTCATAAAGGGCCTCCAGGAATGGACAACCAAATACTGAAAGGGACTCGCGTATCACAGATTCGATCCTGAAAGACAGAGTCCTTTCAGCAAATGTTAAGCCCTTTGCTTCACTTTTTCTGTGTCCAGGTATCAGGATCAGAGAATATTTTTGAAAACTCCCCCCACCCCCAGTTGTTAATTACTGAGAAACAATTACAAGTTTGTAGTTATTTCCAAAGACTGTTGCAGTGTTTAGGAAAAACTTGTCCTTTCTCCCTGGAGGCAGACAGGATGTCCCATGGAGGGAGCAGGAAATATCTGTGGGACTGGGAATGAAACTCTGCTATCTTGTCCTATTTTCTGATCCCCCGAGAAATTTTTCTGCCCCAAAAAGAAGGGTTCCCCATTTTCAGACACCTGGCCTGCAGCATCATTAAATTATGAGTAGAGATATTTAGCCAAAGTTCCTGGGAAGGATTTTCAAAGAGATACAAGTAAAAGGAAGAACACCATGACAATAATTTGCATTAGAAACCACCGGATGTTTTTGGTTTTTTTGGTTGTTGTTCACTATTAATTTGGAAGTGTAGGGGAGTTGGAAATTCTTTAGCATAATTTATAACATTGATCTCTCCCCCCAACCTCTAGTAGGGATATAAAGGACGAACAACATCCATCAGAAAAATATAAAACGATCTTTTACAAATAAAAGCACATGGATCAGATGAGTCAATGGGCAGATTCTAGAAGTCTGGGATAAGCCCGTGCTGCTTACTCATTTTAATGGCATTGGGATTGGGTGGTTACATTTTTCTGCACCTGTTTTTTGCTGAATGTGCAGTAATCACCTGTGATCGCTTTTTTAAATTAAGAAACATAAAAGGAGCTCAAATTAATTCTTTGGGGTTTTTTTTTCCTAAAAAATAAACATACAATTTGATGTCCACTATCTAGTACTCCCCATATTCAAGTCAGGGATTAGAGGCATAACTGTGGACAACACTTACCGCACACACACGCCCAAATACAAATACATTTCTATATAAATGACAACACATGTATATGCAAAAAATATATTCGGATACAGGTATATACCCTCACATCTTCCTCTGTAACTCACGCGGACCATACTCACACATTCCCATTCACATTAATAAAGGCACACACATGCCATCAATTGTGTATCTTGATGATATGGTTCTATACGGGAAGGGGAGATATATTGTAAAGCATTGGCCCATGGGATTAATGGAGGCTGAGAAATCCCAAAACCTGGGGGCCTGGGCGGCTCAGGTTATAATCT